TAATAGTTTTTCGTTTTTACATTATCAGTAGTTTTTACTTCATCTTTTATTTGCTAACTTATGAAATAACCAGATTTCATGTGATGCCAGATACACTTAAAAAAGTACAATGAATGACCATGTCATTTATTTAAAGTGTATTTTAATCTTGTTCTAATCGGAAATCAAAAAACCTGTTTTGTTCAGTTTGTCTGAAACCAAATAACACCTGCGTAGAAAAAAAAAAGAAAATAAACCATTTTTGTATAAACAGTATTTTTCTTGATAGCAAGGGTATTTTAGTATCATTGAGATACTATTGTAGTTTTTAATTAATACTTGGATTAGTTTTTATTTTTTATTATTTTCTGTATTTTTGTTTAGTTTTTCTTAGTTGTTATTGTCCTTTTGTTTTGGTTTCTTGTTTTTTTTTCTTTGTTTTTTCTTAAATATGTCTATGTAGTTTTTATTTCAGTAAATTTGATTTCAGTTTTAGTTAAGTACATCAAGAAAAACTAAATGAAAATGAGAAATATTGCCCTATGGCAACTAGCTGATATAAAAAACTTAAGGTTATATATATATATATATATATATATATATATATATATATAATATACTAGGGGTGTAATGGTACACGATACAGTGTTTCAACCACGGAAAAACGTGAATAAAACAGCTTGTAAACAAAATGTTACGTAGCATTTCATTTACCTCAGGCAAGTCATCAGTGTCCACAGCTCGTTAGTGCGCTATAAATGAAGCCTAGAGAAGAGCATTTCGTGAAATATTAGACTATATACTCATTATATTTTACTTTACCTGTTAGTGATGTCTTAATTATTGAATTTATGTTTAAATAAATCTGTTAGGAATCAAGTTATAACAGCCACTGTGTAAATTAATATTTCAACTACAAATAAAAATTGTACAATTTAGAAGTTAATTTAAAAACGGCATTATGTGCAATTTTCATGTTTGCATGATTAGTTAAAAATAAATAGTAATTGAATTTTGGGCTCTGTTGTTAATTGTAACCTTATAGTAATGTAAAAGTGCTCCCTATAGTTAAAGGGTTAGTTCACCCAAAAATGAATATTAGCCCACAAATTACTCACCCTCAAGTCATCCTAGGTGTATATGACTTCCTTCTTTCAGACGAATCCAGTCGGAGTTATATAAAAAATTGTCCTGGCTATTCCAAGCTCTATCATTGCAGTCAG